AACATCATAGCTTAGATCTGGTAGCAAACCTCGTCTTAAAAATGGCACAGTAAACACGATCCTATATCAGCACAATTAATTTCTCTTTTTTTTCCAAATGATATGTGGAATGTTCTTAATTCCCCATGGAATTCTCTGATTGAATTGGGGGCCCGTAGAACTGCCCTCTACAGCTAAGATGCTGAACAACAGCTCAACCTGGAGCTGGGTTGCCATGAGTCGCTGGCGACGGCATAGGCTGCAGCCCCTGCTGCAGTGGTTGCCATAAGCTACCATGTGTAGACGGCAGCCAGCGTGAGCGGCCAGCAGCCGCTGTGAGTGACCGTCCAGAGGCCAGCGACTGATCTGCCTCACCCGGGAAGAGCACAATGATGGTGCCAGCTTGAGACAGTGAAGCAACATCCTCCACAACTAGACTGAAGAACAAAACAACAGCAACCTGTCTGTTCCCCTTCCCCCGACTCCCCAGCGCTGTTCCCCTCCCCCAACTCCCCAATAAAATCTTAAATAAAAAAAAAAGATATTTAACATCTATATGTCTTAGTTTCTACAAGTGTAAGATATTGGGTATATTATTACCATTAATCACACAGGCTTGTTCTGAGGATTAAGTGCTATATGCATTAATTAGAATAGTGTCCAGCACAGACTAATGTATATATTATAATAGAGTTTACTGTGTAATCTGATGAAGTGATGCCTGTTATGCATTGTCCATATTTATAGGCATGGCCTGACAAGTACAAATGTGCCTACAGGACAATCCCCAAAAGGTGCTCTGGGGAAAATCTGGCTTGTAGTTCCACCTGTGTCATGAATTAGCTGGCTGGTTTACATTAATTAGTTAATCCATGCCTCAGTGTCCTCAGCAAGCCTTATCAACCTCACAGAGACATTATGGATGCAAAGTTTAAGAACTGATATAATAGTTCTAATCACACAAAGGTCTTGTGATAAATAAGAGGTCTAATAACCCATGTTTCCTTTCTCTCTTGTAGGCTCTTCAAAACCAAATAGTCTTAGAATGACCAGTTATCATAGTAGTCTTTCTCTCTCTCCCTTTCTTTTTCCTCCAATTTTTTTTTTGAATGAATGAGTCCTGTTACTTTTAGTTGGACATTATTATGATTGTATTTCAGGCCTGATTCAACTCACTGGCCCACCAGTGTTGATCCTTGCTTTAGGCCCAAACATCATTCTTTATTTTTAGTATTATAAATAGTTAAAGCCATATGAAACAAAGAGGAATAAATCCAAGAACAAGTAGAGCAAGAGAAATGGTGAGAGTCTCTGTCTAAGCCTGGAGAGGACACAATGCCTGCTCCATATCTCAGGCCTCCTTCCTTCTGTTCCTGTTGTAGATGGTTCTAAAGCCCAGACTCATCTTACTATATCAGCAAATTACAAGAAGAGGAAAGATTACATTCCTGAGCATAGGGAAGTGTTCTTTGAGACTAGACTACAGGGGGGCCCACATCTTTGTCCTCTTTGTCCATTCTAATAATTGCTACATACCCTAGGATGTTGATCTCATAGAGTCTTTGGCCATAACTATATCAATCGTCCTCACTATTGCAGGGTAGAATTAAGTAGTGAGGGAAGAAAACCTGACTTTTCCCAACAATTATCTGAACTGGTGTCCTTCAGCATTTCCCATACACACTAACTGCCAGCCCTTCTAGCCTGCCAATCTTCACCTATTTCATTTTGTCCACATTCTTTTCAACATCTGGTTCTCAGCACTGAGACCCATATTCCACAGGGTTATGACTCCCATAAACTACTTCTCTCCGGGACCCAGGCAATCACCTTCTATTCATACAGCCTGCATTTATGCTAGTTGTTTTAACAGCCCTCAGCTACAGAGACTGCAGTAAAGATGACAGGATACATGTGACGAGTGTCCTGAAATTCAGATATGCTTATGATCTTCTCCTTTCCACTTAATAGATTCCAGCACAGAATAAACACTAAAGAATTACTGCTGCACAGTTGAGGTAAATTAAAGTCAATGCAGTTGAGACTTCAGCAATGAATTGACACTGGCCTGGAATACCAATAGCAACTCATAAAGGTAAAGTTTAATCAAGGGTTTGGCTGGAGGTCTGGAAACAAGCTGTTTAGGTGGAACCAAATTTAGGTTGAAATCATGCAGAATTCTGTATGTCAGGCTCTGTTCCTCTAGCCCAGTGTGGCACCCTCTACGGCTTCATGCCATCAGTACTCACCATTCTTGCAGAGCAGGATGGCCAGGAAGTCCTGAGAGGAAGAATTGATGTAAAGCAAGAGGCTGGGTGTCTGGGAGGTCACAAAACTAAATGCGATGTTTTCCTTAGATGGAGCTAACTCCGAGTAAATTGCTGAGGATGAGAGGCTTATATTCTTGGTCACTGGGTAAGGTTCTTGAAACATATAAGTAACTGAAGTGCCAACCTCAAAAACAGCAGAAACCTCTGCAAAATATAAGAAGGGAAAGCACACATTAACATATTTAATTGACTATTCAGGATACAATAATTGCTTGTTTGTTGTCTCCTATGCATCAAGCACTGTGTGAAGATTTGTACATTAATTATATAATATGCTTCCCACAATAATTTTGAAGTGGCAGAAGTCATTCTCATTTACAAATGAGGAACATGAGATGTGCAAAGGTTAAGAACCTTGAAAAAGTTTGCATAGCTAGAAGAGAGAGCTAGGATTTGCACTGTGTAATTTAGGTCCAGTTTAACATATATTTGCAGAATAATCATCATGTGTCAGGCTCATTTTTCAAGAAGCAAAGGTAAAATGTCCCTGCCTCCAGCACAGTATAGAGAAATTTCACTGGGACCATCTTACTTTCAAAACTGAAATACTAACAGATACTAACAGTTCTGGTGTGTATTTTCTTCGTGTATCAGGAGGGCTTTAAATAGGCTCTAAATTACTGAGAATAGGACATTGGAAAAGGCAGCAGCAATACTCTGATGTTGGGTGAAGTGTGGGGATCCACGGAAACAGTAAGAAAGGCATAGGTATCCAACTCACAGACTCAGCATTTCAGACGTCTCAGAACTGGTATCCAATCCCCCCAAAAAGCAAAGACTTGGGCAAAGATGCCTTCTTATGGGGAACAATTCCTATCACACAACACGTTGGATAGAGTTCTGCCACCACCAATAAGGAAAGGAGGCATCTACAAACTGATGACATTCAATTAGCAGGAACATGCAAATCCCCCAATCCTTTCTCTATAATGTCCTCCCTCCAACTCTTAATTTAATAAAATTAGCACAGGATTTGGCTTCAGGACTAGACCTGAAGCCGCACTGGATTTCATACTAACTGTGATGTCCCAGGCAAGTTAGCGAACCTTGTGAAGTCTGTTTTCTCTTCTGGGGTTGGGAAGCATAAAACCTACCTCAAGAGTATTTCTGAGTGGATAAATGAAATGATGTGTGTAAAGCACTTAAGAGTTACTCACCACAGTTTGAACTCATAGACATTCATATCAGATGATAATTTAACCTGAACCCATCCCAATTTTCTTCACGAAACAAAAATCTGTTTATTGACTACACATCCATCCAAATGCTAAAATATTATCTTCTTTTAATCAAGACTACTCTTAAGTTCACTTTCAATTTTATCGCTATTCAATATCAGGGTATGGAGTAATGGTTTATTTTTAGAACATCATAGCTTAGATCTGGTAGCAAACCTCGTCTTAAAAATGGCACAGTAAACACGATCCTATATCAGCACAATTAATTTCTCTTTTTTTTCCAAATGATATGTGGAATGTTCTTAATTCCCCATGGAATTCTCTGATTGAATTGGTGGCACCTAGAACATAATTAAACCTGGCTTTTGCTTTCTACTTCTATTGCAAATGTATTCTACTTTTGTGAAAATTCTATAACAGCCTGTAACGGTGCCAAAAATTAAAGTTGCATATGTATGCATATTGAAAATACCAGTTCATTTTTACTAAAGTTTCAGATGAAGAGTTTTGCATTTACCATGCAGGTTATAACTTTAGTACTCTTGATTACAAAGCTATGAAGCAGAGATTTGTGACAGTGAGGATTCAGGTTAATCATCAGCTTGATTCAAGGACTTTCCATAAGTCAACTTCCTTGGGGACATTTAGCCTGAATTTTGAGCTCCTATCTCCTAGTCAACATAAAATGATTTTCATTTGATGTTTGTGTGTGTGTGTTCAAATGTAAGTATAATTTAGAGCATTCTGTTCTGTGGCATATAAAATATGGATATACATATTACCTTTTTTCTTTATACTTACCACAGAATACTAAAATGAGAAGTATTTTTTAACTAGAAATATCCTTCCAAATCTCTCTCCTCCCTCCTCCCCGATCCTCAGTATTTTTAGTGTTTATATATTGTCAATTTCAACATAAAGGACAATCAGAGAAACATCTGGATTCTACTATTCTCTCAGTTTGTTATATTTTGTAATCTAAGATTTTAAACTCTCTGATCATATTTAAGCTCTCTAAATGATTTGTCTGAACATCCAAACCCACTGGGATAAACAGAAGAAAAATCTTAACTTGAAGGTGTTTCTCAATGACCCTCATGCTACTCCACGACCACAAGACCAATATTAGTGACATCTCTTGAGCACCTACTGATGGAAGGAACTGTACTGATTACATTCTGAGAAGACAGGGCAAACATTTTATGTTATTTATTTTATTTTATTTTTTAAAATATTTTTATTGGGGAATTTGGGAATTGGGGAAAGGGAACAGCCAAGTTGTTGTCCTTCAATCTTAGTTGTGGAGGGCATAGCTAGCTCAGCTCCAAGTCCAGTTGCCATCCAGCCACCTGACGGCAGCTCACGGCTGCTCAGCTCAAGGTGTTGTGTTCAGTCTTAGTTTTGGGTGGGTGAAACCCACTATCCCATGTGGGAGTCTAACCAGAAACCTTGTTTCTAAGAGCTGATGCTCTAACCACTGAGCCATCCAGCTACCCATCAGCAGCTTGCAGCCACTCAGCTCAAGATGCCATGTTCAATCTTAGTTGCAGGTGGGCACAGGCCACCATCTCATGCAGAAGTCAAACCGGCAACCTTGTTGTTAGGAGCACGTGCTTTCACCAGCTGAGCCATCCTGCCACCTGTTGGCAGCTCAGCAGCAGCTCAGTTCGGGCACAGCTCAGTGGCCATTATGGGAATCGAACCAGTGATGCTGTTGCTCAGAGCTCGCACTCTTAACCAACTGAGCTACTCGGCCGACCCCCAGGACACACATTTAAAAAATAACACCAATGAAAGATAGCCTAGGGTGTGATGTGTAAGTGATAGAAAAAATGATTCTCAGAGTTGGATGTCTCCATGGGCCAGAGTAGCCTGGGAAGATCTGAAAGAGCTGCTCAACATGACTAGCCTTAACATGTGGAACTAACTAAGAGAAATAACTAAGAGTCAGGGTGGCACTGGAGAGGTTGTGTCTCTGAGCCAGCCATGTAGTCTGATTGACGTGGATTCTAGAACCTGGCTGTGCCCTTCTCCCGTTCTCTCACTCAATCTCACATTACTGAAACATAAACAGGGATGAATTCAGTATTGTGGTAGGTAGAAGGACTGGAAGAAATTATATAAAATCATGGCACATAGTAAACTCAATAAGTGATAGCTGGTCTTAATAATACTAATAGAATTAAATTTAGAATTAAAATAAACATGAAAACCAGTCCTGGGTAATGAGTAGGCTAGTGGTTACCTAGAAATCAGTCAAGCTGTCATTAATTTAGAAAAACATCAAACTAAAAATAAATAAAACAATTGTCATAACATTATAATTTTATTATTGAAATTTTCTTATAATAATGGTCCTGTGGATATATGTTCTTATGAGTCCTTATCTTTTAGCAGTACATATTGCAGTATGTATAAAATGATATGGTATCTGGAATTTGCTTCAAAATAATAAAAGAAGAGAAGCGATGTGAATGTATCGGTTAAATAAAAAGGGTAATGAGTTGATAGCTGTTGGAACTAGATAATGTGTGCATGGGGGTTCTGAAACTCTTCTCTCTACTGTATAATTTAATTTTTTGAGTAATAAAAAGTTAAAAAAAAATGACATAAGTTGTCAGGAAGGTAAATGTTAGAGAATTTTTTCAACAGGTTTTTGGCTATTAGTAAAGTGTACCTAAATATACATACCATTTTTTCACTGAAATTCCATTATGGAAATAATTGATTAATATGTTTATCATAGCATTATCTATGTGCAAAAATTAAGGTAATCTAAAAGTCTAAAACAATAATAAGAGTGAGCATTTAGTGAGACTTGGTATGCCAGGCATTTTCCCAAGTCTTGTGAAGTGCTCAATGAATGTTCACCACAACCCATGTGAAGGTTTCCTGAATTTTCCATATTTTTCACATCTATAGATGAGAAAATCAGGAATTATGAGGTTGAGTTCCACAACCAGTTTCTTGCACTGGATTGCAGATAAGTCAAATTTTGAACATAAGCGGGTCTGGTGCCAGAGTCATGCTATTACTAAGCTATAATGCTCTGGTGATATAATGGGTTAAATAAACAGAAGCAATTCCACCAGATGAAATATATTGCAATTGTTAAAACTAACAAATTGTATAAAAATGCGTATAAAATGAAATAAAGAAAATCCAGTATATAAAATGTAATAGACACATATCTCAGCTATATTAATGCAAAGAAAAGAGCTAGGAGGAAATCCAATTTTCTTTCTAATGGCTGTCTTTGAGTAGCTTGGGATTTTGTATTTCTATATTTCCAAATATATTTCCAATTAAAATTCCAAATATGTTATCTAATATTTCTAATTTAAAAATAACTTAAATGACAATACTGTGACAGTCATATGCAGATTGTTAAAGTAATGATGGGGGTGGATACTGGCTGAAGACAAACACACATCAACAAGTGGTGTTAGACCAACTGGATATCATATGTAAAACAATGAAGTTAGTCCCCTAATCACACCATGTACAAAAATTAATTCAAAAGGATTGAAGACTAAATGTAAATGCTAAAAATATAAAGCAGGGGTGACTAGTTAGCTCAGTTGGTTGAAGCATGGTGCTGGTAACACCAAGGTTGCTGGTTTGATCTGCACATGGGCCACTGTGAGCTGCACCCTCCTTAACTATGCCATTGTAGCATGAAAGCAATATGTGACAATGACCATGGCTATTCTCCAATAATATATATATATATTCTGGTCAAAACAATTAAAAATTAAAAATAAATTAAAAAATAATAATGTCCTGGTCAAGACAATTAAAAATAAAAAATAAATTTAAAAATATAAAGCATTTAAGGAACCATAAGCATAAGTCTTCATGGCCTTAACAATGGTTTTCTTAGATATAATTCCCAAAGCATAAGTAACAAAGTAAAAATAAAAATTAAATAAATTAGACTTCATCAAAATTAAAAACTTTTGTTCTTCAAAGATACTATCAAGAAAGTGAGAAATGGAGAAAATATTTTCAAATCATATATACAATATGAAAATTATATTCAGATTATATAAAGAATTTATACCACTACACAATAAAAAGAAAAAAAGCACAACTGAAAAATGGGCAAAACCTTTGAATAGATATTTCACCAAAGATGTACACATTGCTGATAAGTACATACAATTATGTTCAATATTATTAGTCATGAAGGCAGTGTAAGTCAAAACCACAATGAGATATTATTTCAAACATGCACAGTAGAATGTTTATATTAAAAAGACAAACAATAACAAGTGCTAGTAAGGGTTTGTAGAAGTTGCAATTTTCACATATTGCTGGTGAGAATGTAAAATGGAGCAGCCGCTTTGAAAGCCAGTTTGGCAGCCCCTCAACTTTTTAAACATCTAGTTATTACATGACCCAGCAGTATCACCTCTAGTATATACACAAGGAAATAGCAAACGTAAGTCCATACAAAAACATGTAAACATCCCAAACCATCAACTGATACATGGATAACAAACAAAATGTAGTACATCCACACAATGGAAAACACTTTTGGAAATAAAAAGGAATAAAGTACTGAAAAATTCTACGATATAGGTGAACCTTGAAAACATGCTAAGTCAAAGAGACCAGGCACAAAAATGCCACATATTGTATGATACTATTTATATGAAGTATCCAGAATAGGCAATTCCACAGTGACAGAAAATAGATTAGTGGTTTCCAGGAACTGGGGTTGGGGAGAGGTGAATGGCGAGTTTTTGCTAATGGGTATAGATTTCTTTTGGGGATGATGAAAATATTCTGAAATTAGATAGTAGTGATGGTTATGCAGCTTTGTGAATATGCTAAAAACCCATGAATTGTACATTTTAAAAAAGTTGAATATCATGCTATGTAAATGCATCTCAATTTCAAAATAAGAACACTCAAAACAAAACAAAAAAAGTACATATTTTAACCCTATTATTACTTTCCTATATAGAATAAAATTAGGGTCATAAAGGGGAAAAAGGAACCAAAAAGATGTTGGATGAACCTCCAGCTCTGACATTGATCTGCAAGTCACTAAACCTTCCTGACCTTCATTACAGTCATATGCTAAAGCAGACACTACCATCCTCCATACCAGGTTGTGGATAAGCAATAATGTTTCAGTCAACAGTTACAAGCTAATTTTATTATTTCTTTATACCATAATCAGCAACAGAGAGTAGGTCAATGGACTTGGTTCTAGCCCAGGCACAGCTAACAGATAATGTCCTTAATTTCACCCCAGATAGTTCCAGCATTTGCATACCGTGAGATATGCATGTCATGTAGTAAGTTAACATAAAAAACTGCCCCAACAGAGAGCAAAGTTGTTCAGGACCATCTTGTAGCTAATGGCTCCATTTCAGTTCCAAGCCACGTTTCCCAGAGGCAATTGGCATGGCTAAGAGACTTGGTAAAAAGGTTCATCTTACAGACCTTGGAACTGTTGACTAGAAAGAGAACTATTTCCTTAGATTTATGAAATAGAAGGGAAAGCTTGGAAACAGTAAACTATGAAACAAGCTGAAAAGGCTAAGCACATATTTGTCTATTTTGCTTGTAGATCAAAATAAAAAGTGGGGAGAGGGCCCAAAGGATACTTCAACAAATTTAGTCAAAAGATACAGTGGCATGGACACAAGATAACTCATAGTAGCTGTTTCAAAGAAAGGAGCCAATGAAAAGTTGGGCTATATTCAGAACAATGTGATCTATGAGATGCTTGAACAATATCTCTGGATAAATGTAGAGAGGTCAATGATTCTTTATTTCTTCCTACAAAAGCCTTGGTTATAGATCCTATAAGACAATATTAGTATATTTTAATGACGGCCTGGTAACATTTATTCTGCATTTGTTTCTTTTAGCATGTGCGACCAGTCTAGGGGTGGCATCCAAACTTTTCAGGGAACTTGTTCACAGACCTCCCCCATGGTAAAACCCAGTAGCACTTTGCTTGTCTTAGTTTCCAACAGCCTACCAGGATGTGCCCTGCTTTATTTCAAGCTCCCATGCAGGGCCCAACACTCTGTTGGCCCTAAAATTTATACCATTAATTTTCTCCCAAGGAGCACAATGCTTTCCAGCAATGACAAGCAAGTAATTCACACTGAGAAGGCCAGTGCAAATGGATGAAGGGCTTGACCAGCCATAACAAGCAAATAATTCACACTAACTGGGGACGAGGCCAGTGCGGGTGGATGAAGAGCTTAAATTACAGATCCCTCGAAGCCCATACTGAGTGCTTCTTTCCGTATGGTTTTAAAGTTCCAACAGGAAGTGGGACTAAATAAAGCATCGTTTGGTAGAGATGTTTGGGAAAAATATCTTAATGAATTGATAAGAACTTTTATTACTGTCCTCACTGTTTTTATATAAATGGTGTTTCAAAGGGTGATTAAAACATTTCAAATGCTGCTCTTGAAACATTGTTTATTTATTCAACATTTTAAATGTAAAATACATTTAAAAATTCTGCAAAATCTGATGGCAGATCAAATATTTTGTCCCACTATTTGAAAAAATGCTAAGTATTTATACTAAAAAATGAGATTTTATAGTTTGTAAGTTATCTTGAATTTATCTAGATAATTTACAGCATGACCATCACTCCTTGTCCAAGGTGTACACCCATCATGGTTAGCTTTTGTCAATGCAATAGTTTCATAAGGTTTGTAGGGGATATCAAAAAGCACCAGGGCAGGAATCTTGACTGCTGGGTTCCATTCTCAGCCCTGAAGAACTAAATGTGAATATTGGGGCAGGGCTTTTAAAGCCTCAGACCCCAATCGCATCACCTGCAGAATAGGGAGAGTTTCCTAGATATGTGATACTGACTTTACTCACTTATCTGTATTCTCCCTATTATAAAAATGATTTAGGATGGCTTAAGGTTCCTCCAGGGCTAGAGTCTATGATTTGTTGATTACATTTATGAACTGAGGAATTAGGACTGGAAAGATCAGGGCACTCCTCAAGATCCAGCTGATACAACAGAAATGAGTCCTCCTCTCTGAGTGCTTAGCTGGTTCTCGGCCATGGAAACACTGTCATCCTGTTGCTATCCATTCAGCACAATTGCACTGTCAGCATCCTCAAACAGTGATAATGAGCATATGTAATTATGTTGAGGAGATATGCAGAGTCTCAACACATTGAGAAACTGAAGCAGAGTAATGATCGTCTGAGGACTCTCTAAGGTCATGGGATTCTATGACTTGGCCATGGCCTATAGTCCCTACAATGTGGCATGTGGGAAAACAAAAATGCCTATTGTACCTTTTTTGCAGAAGGGCCCTTCATATGGTGAACTGGTGCAATCGCATAAGTATCCGCTGCGTTTCTCCACACACTTGCCCCCATTATGGCAGATGCTACCATAGCTGCTGCAATGGCCTGGGCATCCTGGCCGGACTCCAGATGTGACCTTGGCCCTCTCCTCCAGGTCCAGTTTCTGCCCATTCAAGTGTAAGGAACGCATGCATCCCAGGAAGCCTTTCTGTTTTGATGATGTTCCCCCTAAGTAATGAAACACAAAAGGAAAAATATATATGTAAGCTATCATACATAGGTTTCAAATTTTTTAAGTTTAATATCAGTGTGGTAATAGTTAACTATTGTTCTGTAGTCAAGCTGTGGTGGACTTTTCAACTGAAGTTTCCAGTGAGAATTAGGAATTTAAAGAGCCTGGGAAAAATGCACACCTTTTCAGGCTGGGAAAAGTACCTCCCCATATTCAAAAAACTTTTTTTAAAAGATCATACATAGCTGATGTGGATTCATGGACTTTATATATTTAAGATAGAAACTTTAAGATAGGACCCTATCATATCCCTTGCAAATGAAATACAATGTACTTTTAGTCTACAGCAGATACCTGAAGTATCATGCACAGAGCGGGATTACAACCTCTAGCAATGTTAGAAGCAAGCTGTTAGGCTCATCAAGTTAGAAAACAGTGAGTAGCTTTGTAATATTTATGTAGCACAGTGCAATGGCCTAGAAAGGCGGGGAAATTGAGGACCAGGCAGACATCACGCCAAACTACAGGGTACTGGTTGATTAGCCATATTGATCACTGTCCCACCCAAAACTCAGCTGTTTGATCTGTAAAATATGTCTATTTCATGTGTTTATGGTAAGGCTTACTTAAGACCTAGGAATACAGTACATCCTCAGTCACTACTCTTTGCTATCTCTTCTCTTGAAGCCTCACAATGCCTAGAACTGGTAGGTTGTATATACACACCCACACACACACAAACACACACAATTAAGTTCATGAACTTTCCACCATGCACTTACACAGTGGAAAGTTTGCAAACTTAATTGTGTGTGTGTGTAGAAGGTTTCAGAGAGATCCACAATGTTTTCTGCAAATTACTTAAGAATAGAGTAAATTCAAAGTGACAGAGTGTTCTATTACTGTTGCATATTTAGGATTCTACTAGTCTAAACTTCTAATACCAGAAAACAATATATTGAAAGACAACAAAGCCAAGGAATTAAGCTAAATCCCATCAACAAGTATTTATTTTGTGTTGGGAATTCTGGGACGTCCCAGAGAAGGCACATGTCCACACTTAGAGAACCCAAGTTCTACTTCAAATGCAACGCTTTGGGTTCAAGCCCATACACATGGATAACGAAGAGGAGGGGAAGGTGTGATGGAAGACAAGGGCAGGACTGGCTTATCGTTTGTTTTATGTATTTATATGTCATTTCTCCTTTCTGAGCCTCATTCATTTCTAGTCCTTCATGTTGCAGCTTTAGTAAATCTTGGTCTATCTAGCAAATGACCAGATGAAATATATTCCCACCCAGGAGGATACAGACATGAATTCCAAATGTGCTATCTCTGACTGGGCATAGAGATGTTAAGCAAGAAACAAAGCTATAAGGTAAAGAAATGAATATGTAACTGAAATTATTTCTGGCATCAGTCAGCCTGGCAGGATGGACAAAAATAATTGGAAATGGGGATCGTGGAAGTATAGGGTGGGAAGAGGGAGCACTCTCCCTCCCCTGAAGCACACCAGGTCATCAGACCCATAAATATATGTATGACCATCGCTGTCTGCATCTAAAGACACAACATTCCGAAAGGACTAATCCACTCTCTTATTCTGAAGAAATGATAAAACTCCATTGTATCTTCAGTTCTGGTAAGTGATTCCCAAGCCAGCCAAGAGGTCAAATCCACATTGCATTCTGCTGTCTGTCTCAATTTTAGTGAGTAAATCTCCTTTAACCACAAGCTAAATCAATTATAAATATAAGCAGCTCTTAGAGGAAGTTTCAGTATTTGTTTCCCAGAGATTGTATAGAATAAAGAGGGGACAATTTGTATAGTCATATGCTTTTTATTTTCCCCTTATTTTGTAGTCACTTTCTGTGGTGGATTTGAATATCACTCATAGATCTTCTTAGTGTCATTTTTCTTTCTTCTAGCAGAAAACTAGAGGATTGATTACATGTTTTCTTGCATGTGACTTAGTCAAGTTCATAAAAAGAGAAAGTGGCTGGGGTGGTTTTCTGACAGAAATATCTCTTTCAGGTTAGAGACCTAGAGAGTATGGCAAGAACGACCCAAAATAAGAGAATCATTCCAATCCCAGATGCTGATAAAACACAGTGACACAATGGTCTATGAACTAAATGACAAATGAACTAAATTTCAGTCTTCACCTGACTGTTTTTTATTCTTTACAGGGGAGAAAAACTGGAGGTTAGGCTCTTTTTTTTCTTTATGGAGAATATGTGGGCTAAGTATAGAATCATTCTAAAAAGATATTCCCCACCCACATAATGACAGCCAGTCAAGTTGTCAGCAATCTCCATTTTCTGACAGTGTTACCTACTCTGTGTACAGTGGCATTGGAGGTATGAGTCTCTGTGAAACTTGACTACTGTACAGAAATGCAGCCACAATCTCCTGCTTCCTTCTCACCCACAGCTTTTCTCTCCCAGCCCTGCCCTGTGGATCTCCTCTCCCAGATATCTGTGGATCCATCTGCTTCTTTCCACCCCGGAGCCAATGGCCTTAGTAGAATCTCCCTCACCCCCTTGAATCCCAGCATCAGCCTTCTCACTGATAATCTTACTCTCAGCCATAATTCTGTCCATTCATTCACCACTTTGCAATCTGAGAGCTCAGCCACAGGTAAAAATTTGGTTCTGCCAGTCCTGTTTGATACCCTTCAGAGAGTAGTCATTGTCCTGAGAAGAAAGCTCAAATCCTTAGCACAGCTCACATACCATGAAAGCCCTGGCCTCCAGTAATCTCAGCCTCTTCCTGCTCTGACTTCAGGGCACCAGGCATTCTGAACAGGCTCACGAATGCCCAATGGTCTGCCTTGACTGAACCTCTTGGTGTAACTTTGTGTTTATGTGGTGTCATATTTTCCCCATGCGCTCAGCTGCTCACCCTTCTCCATCTCTTCTGTCACACACACACACACACACACACACACACACACACGCACGCATGCATGCACTCATACACATACATTCCCTAGTCACATATTTCCTACCCACCCAGTAATTATTTCAACTAGTTTCCAATTTTCTAAAACAAAAACTATTTTAAAAGTTCCAGTAAGTCTTCTGTTGAAGAATCAGAAGATCTGTTCAGAATGAACCTGATTTCCTGTTTGGCAAAGCTCAGCTGCACTGGGGTCAGTTCCTCTAAGACAGGACACACATGCTCTCTCCACTTGGCAGCAGTCTCCACAGGCACCACCTCATTCATTCAGACTGCCCTCCTGGCCCTTGTGGGTATTTGACTTTTCCATTGCTCTAATATACTTTTCTCTTTACCTTTCTGCATCTTGTCTAGAGTTTACATAAGGTTGAAAGAACATCAACAACAAACAATTGTAGAATTATCCTTAAGGCAGATGAAAGTCATTTAATTGAGGCTCATACTTAATCTGCAAGCTGTTTGAGGATCAGAAAAATGCCTCTAAGTCTAAAAAAAAAAATCAAACAGACTTGTTTTATGCTGGACACCTTACCACTGACTCACTGAATACTCAATGGGAAAAAAAGTATTCTTCATATTATTCACTTTATATAGTTGAGAAAACTTAGCATCAGGGACATTGCTTTGGCCAGATCAAACAGGTTTTATATGGCAGAAGCAGGAGTCAGGCTGGGCTCTCTTAATCTTCTAGCCTGTACACCATCACAGCACTAAAATTCTAAAATGAGCTAGTTGATGACACAATTTGGGTCAGTACAAAAACTAAGCAGTTCTTCTACTTTCTTTCCCTGGTCTCTTACATGGTTTCTTCTACCATGTAACAGGTACATACACATTTTATCCTCTTGGCTTCTGTATCACTTTTCTTGATAATTTACACCATTAGTTAACTGGACTCACTAGAAGCAATTTTGTATGAAACTGTTCAGCTGGTCCTGAGTATCAAGTGTGTTCATTGTGATGATGCATCTTACATTGGGTGTGAATCAACTCTTAAAAACAGGGTGTCATCATTCTCAACCTGTCTTAGAAAACCTCCATGTGTCACCTGGACAAATGTTCATTGTTTCCAGAGAAACATCTCAATTCCTTGTGTCCTCCTTGAGTGCAAGTACAGGAGCCTCTATTTCTCTTGTGTACCCTAGCCACGTTTGACATGATTCACCTGAAAATGGGAATAATAATTCCCTACCAGGGTGAAAGCAGGAGCAGCATTTTTGGGGATCTCTGCAACTTTATGATTAATCAAGTCAGTGTAGTATTTTCCTCCAAGGAGTTATAAGTTGGGAGTAACTTCAGTTTATTTTGACACAGATAAAGAAGCTGAGCCAAAAAAAAAAAATCCATGAAAAGACCAAAAGAGTAAAAAGGATGTAAAGCCGCACAAAAGTGAGACTCACAGGCCAACATCTTTATAAAATGTCCACAGTATAATTGCAACACATCTGGAAAGATGCAATGTCAGTTTAGGGACTGCTATTACATGCATATGGGTATGAGGATAATGACGCTATCATTCCTAATGTGTATATGTAGAGAACAGATCCTCAAGTTGTGAAAACTCAGTTACCGGACACTTCATTTTCATTCTGCAGATAAAGACAATGAGCATACTTAGGACAATTGTGTTTCTACCAAGGCCCATGACCTGTTGGCCGTTGTCCTGGAATTCTTATCCAGATCTCCTCACTTCACTGTCAGCCATGGGTGCTGGTTCTTGGACCACTCTTGTCTCATCCTCTTAGTGATTGGCACATTTGTAGGGAACAGAAAGCAGAGGAACAAAACCACCAAGAGCAGCATACATTTCAGAAGCTACAATGTTATTAAGTTTCTCCTAATCCTTTAAAGAAACATGACCAGTGAAATGGCATGGCTGCAAATGTAACTATCATGGTGATAAAAGCCTGAAGTAACAAAAAAAAAATGTTTCTGGGAGTCCAGCATACATTAACTGATGTGTCAGCACTTCAACTTGTCACATTCTGATAGCAGGGGCAATGCTAAGAGATACATCCAATTCTGTAGAATTAAAACCATTTCTGGTACTCAGGAAGCACTCATGAGCATAGCAGCAATGCCCCTGATTATAATGCTGAACAATGCTGCTTTGATTGAAAGGTAGTTCAGTGGCTAAAAGTACGTACCTAGACAGACATATCCAAATTAATATTTACGTACTGCCACATTCAATTCATCCCAGTAGAGAAGTACACATCAATTATATATTTTTCTGTGTAGCAAATAAAATATCCATTTCCTCTAAATTTCTGAATGGTGGGGAATGCAATTCTTCAGTTTGGCTGCTATAGCAAAAGTAAAGGGGTTTTTATTGTTTTGATTTCTGTTCTTTTTTGTTTTTTTGTGAACCACTGAATTATAGAAATGGAAATATTGCAACTTCAGCTTTTTCAGTCACTTGATATTTCTAAATGGGCGTATCACTGAACACTAAACAAAAAAACTCAAACCAGTAGACTAAAATGACCTCTAACAGCATTTTTTTTCCTTCTTCAAGTACATTAAGACAAATCCAATAAAGCAGAGTAACATCTGAGATGGAATTTATTGGAGAGAAACATAACAGAAGCAGGTGCTCTCGCCACAGTTGACCTTGGCTCCACCTTGAGCAAGATATCTCCTCCAGACCCATCCACATGCTCTCACAACCCATTGCCTTTGTGACCAATTTAATTGAAACATCTGGAGATAAAAACCTGCCATGAAATACAGCTGCCTCTTTTTCCCTGTTGACTTGCAGAATGTTTATTGCATATTCAGGACACATGATAATTTCAGAGCTACATGAAATTTGCATGAATGGATCAAAAAATTATTCCATCTTTATATACACATTTCAGACTGAAAGATTCGTAAATACTGCCTGAAGATAAATTAAACTTTGGCTTGAATATAATTTATGAAAATTGCAAACTACTTGAATTGATTCCACCAAAAAAAATCCATTAAATCTTGATGACTAGCAAACTTCTTCAGAGAACTAAAATGTGACATTTAAATAGAACTAAAACAGCAATATAAATTTAAAAAATATTTTAATATTAAATCATATTACTTGTGTAGGTTATTAATTAAGTAAATGCCTTATAATCATACAAATGTTTTAATCACTTATACTTTACTTTCTGCTAGATGTGAAAAACATGACAGATGAAGAAAGAAATATAACCCCCATTGAGAATAGAGCATATGAAATATTCTATTACTTTTTTTCTTCTAGTTTGTGTGCTTTTAATAACTACTTTCCTCAGAGTTAAAAGTTTTACAAGCTCAAATTTAAAGGAAGCGAGTAAGAAACACCCATTGATTGCTGATGGCATTCTGTTACTAACAGTAAAGCTGTGTTGTATGAGAGTTGGTTAAATAAAAAAATAAGGACAGAAAATTAAATCTGGGTTGCTGGCAACTTTGGGAACTTATTTATATCATTGTTCTAAGAATCTGAACTTCAAGTTTTATGTAAGAACAACTTCTTCATTGTGATAATATTACAATACCCCTAATATTTACAGATTTACAGCTCTGTTTTGCTCTTGAAAGCTTTACAAGCCCTGCTCAACATATTTTCAAAAAATCCTTTCTAAATTATAGCTATAAGGCTGACCTTTCCTACGTGGACTAATATGGCTAAATCCTATCTCTCCCTCCCCCTCCCCATCTCTCTCTCTCTCTCTCTCTTGCACACGAACATGCACACACACAGGCTGTGAGCTCTTTGAAAGTAGTATCACTGCACAATGCATTTTTCAATCCCCACCATCCAGCAAGGTGATGCCTGCTTGTTTTAGTTCTAGTGACTATAGGTTGGTTGAATGAATGAATGAATGAATGAATGACTCAGTGAATGCTGCATGAGCCTTTCCAGTCCCCATGAGCAGCAGTAGCAGCCAGTTCAGATGAACAACTTGTCTGAAGTCTGGTTCTGAGTCTCACAGAGGGAATGAGCAGTGGAGGGACATCTGCTTGGGGACCAGGACTGCTTTTCGGGTGCAAGTGTAAGGCAGCCAGCCAATGATACGATATCAGGGCGTACCAAAGAAGCCCTCGTTTAAACACCAATAATTTCTTTCCCTGTCATATTACTGATTACTGAAATACCTTTTAAATGGTGTCACATATTTCATTACATTGTTACAATTTTCAGGAGTTAGGTATCAGCAGAAAGGGGGAAGTGTGACCCACTGACTTGGAGCCAGCAAAGGTACAATGAACTGATCCTTTCTTTTTTCTAAGAGCACATTTTGATTGTAAGGATGGAAAATAATAGGAGTCTCTGGGCATCTGAAGGTCATACATACAAGGAGAAAAGATACAAAAAGGGTCTGAGGCCACCTCAAAATCTGCTAGGGGGATGCATAATCTTTTATTGCTGTGGCTAATGAAGCTAGAAAGAAAGAATGTGTAAAACTAAATTGATAATTATAAGTGCTTTATGACATATGTTAATCAGTTTCTATGGGCCTGGTCACATAGTGCTTTGGTAAGGTTTTTAGCCAAAGGGTGGCTGAAGACGTCCCCTACCTACAAACAATGGGCTGTTCAGCTGCAGTCGGAAATGACCATCCTCTGAAGTCTCCCTGGTCATCCTCGGGAGGCTGTCCACCTGGAGCGAGGTCACCTGGAGGTTCCTCTCTGCATGAACGTAATGCCATTGGTTGTCATTCAGAAGAGAAGGAGACTGGACCACGAGTTCTACGGGGCCATTCCCAACATCAATGGCAAAAGTGACCTTGGAAGGAGCTGAAACAACAAAAGGGAAACAGATAGAAAGATGAAGGGACTTGTCAGTGCATAATATGAATGAATGCTGTAAACAATCATAAATCAGTAGCTCGGTAGGGAGGTCTTCAGTGGAAATCCTGCAGTTTTAAAATCATCATTAATAGTAATAACTACCAAAATGTTAAGCCCCAAGCTTTTTATATTGGCCCTGTTGGTCCTGGATGTGAGAATTCAGGAAATAGTATAGGGACCTGGGACACCGATGCCAATCCGATAAACATGTATCTGTGCCAAGGTTCTGGGTTTTCTGGGTCTGTTCTGGATTCAACTATGTCCTCCTAATTATTCATAGCTACTGGGTTAGCTAGGCAGCTTTGCTCCCACAGGGAGAAGACCCATGACCTGGAAAATCCAATGCTTTTCTCCATGTTATCTCACTAGTACAGATGATATAAGCATTCACACTAAGACACCAAAAGAAAGGAGGCTCAGAAAGTTTAAGTGTCATATCCAAGGAAACATGGCTGCAAGTGGTGGTGCTGGGGATCACAAACAAGCATCCCCCTCCCCACTCTCAGCTCTTCCCATGACTCTATCCCTCTATATCAATCTGCATATAATACAAGCCAGGGGCAGCCAGTTGGGGGGGTAGTAATACCTATGATGATATGAGGATGATAATAGTGGTGCTGATGATGGCAGGTGTGTTATAGCCATTGAGAGACAGAGAGAGAAGTACCAGCGGCACTGAAGGGACAATGAACTCTGCCAGGCACTATACTCAGCACTGATCATAGACTCTCTCATTTCAGTCCTCAAAACAACCCTGTAAGGAAGGCATCATTTTTATTTCCATTTTATGGATGAGAAAACCAAAGTTCATAGAAGTAAAAATAATTTTCTCAAAGTTTCCCAGATAGTGAGTAGAATCTGACTCCAAAAGGAGAATTATTTACCATTTTTTCACAGTTAAGTATATGTTCTTATATTTTCATTATTATATACCTTTTTGCTAAATCTGAAGGAAGTGGAAAGGTAAGTTATCAATTGAGGTTGAGGAGAAGACAACCCCATTTGGTAACTGGAACCTTCGTATGCCGGACGTTCCCTTCCTTCTCAGCACCTTGTGATGCCCCCTCTCCTTTACTCCCAAAACAGGACATGGGTTTCATTTAACAGTCATTAACTGCCAGATCTGAATTATCAAAAGTCAAAACCCATGGAGAACCACTCACTCCTCAGCCTTTAAACCCTAACGGAAAGCCAGTCTTGGTATAAGAAGCCCCCAATCTACAGAATTTCAAGTAAATGAGAGCTTGAATTATATTGCATTCTGGTCAGTGTGAGTCTTGTCCTAAAGGAAAGGCGATAGGTAGAAGCCTTAAAAAGGGGATCTGAGAGTGTAGGCTCTGGAGCCACCATGTCCTGAGGCACGTTTTCTATCTTGCTGCATCTCAGTTTTCTCATTTGTAAAATGGGAATAAAAACAGTACCTAACTGTCAAGTTATTTATAAATTAATTCTGGTGGAAATTATATTTTCATCAAATGTAATACCATGTACATTTAAAACATTGTACAACCCAAAAGACAAAACATAGGAACAGAGAGCACACGTTGGACACTGACACATAATGAACACTAAATCAGCACTCATTATCTTGTGATGACATTTGCCACTGCTTTAATGAATCAATAGGCCTTGGGGCCTGATTTTTATTAAATTTACATTGATGTTATTATATTTATATTATAAAATGGTTGGCACTCAATTCCACGTTTGCAGACCTGGGCCAAGTTCGGTACCGAGGGACCTTATTTCACACCAAAGCCACAGGGTTTCCTACCTTTAACAGTCTAAATTGTTGGAGTAAAAGGAGTTAAAATACCAATTAAAGAGATCTCTTTCCTTGTATGTATTGTGCTGTCACTGCAAAAGAAACGCTTAGTTGCTTGGTGATTTGCCGAAGCATACAAACACTGCAGCTATCTCCTCTAGCCAGTGTGTTTGTCTCTTTCTCGGGAGCTCTTAAATTTCCACATTTCTAGGTGATAACACATTACTTATTCTTTCAAGGATATATGATGTAGTCACATGATTATCATAATATGGTCAATTGTCTTAATCTCTATAGAGAACTTCTATTTAGACACAGATAAATGAGACACCTGGTGATAAACAGGAGTCTTTATGGCCAGGGGTATAACCAGGGCAAGATGGTGGGAACAGGCCACCCTGTGGATAAGAAATAAGGGGGAACCCTGAGTGCAGAGAATTGAAAAACAAGCAGAAGAAATTAAAAGTAGATCTGTTTTTCATTATTGCCATGCACCATTAATTGTAAGTGTCATTGATTAAATAGACCTCCACCAAAAACATAATCTTTTGGTTGGTCTAAGTTCAAACAAATGCTGATGTTAGTATTAATTTTTAATAATGTATATATAAGCTTCAGGTAGCACTTTTCATTTCTTAACATTTGTAAATATTATATTCAACAGGAAAGTTAATACAGAGAACTCCAGATAAACTGTTGGTTCCTGAACATACAGACTCAAATATATGTTTGTTTGTTTTTGTTTTTTTAAAGAGTAAGAACTCAAGTTCTGATTCTTCATTTTTATAATTACTATGCTGTCATTGTATAACTCAAGTCTGTTGAAACACATGAATATATAGTATTACAGAGGTTGTGGACCCGAATTATATCCAAAAACAGTTTGTTTCTAAATCCTCAGGAACCCTGTTAGGTTTTACCAAGTAGATGAGCAATCTATGCTGAATTTTCTGATAAAAATATTTTAGTGGATTATTTCTGATTGAGAGATATTTTGAAAGTGTTAAAATTGATTGTGAAAAATACCCATGGAAAATATTACAATTTCTGGAATTAATTGTAAAATGGAATTTTATGAATCTGTACCCAACCTATCCTTATGTTAAAAATCTTTCCTAAAATTTATATAGCTATTGCTTAATGTGAAAAAAATTAAATTTAAAATTTATAAAAAGTATCTTTTGATCGATATGAGAGAAGATATGTGGGTAAATCTGATTGTAATCTCTTAAACATAAACATGCAAAGAAAATCAATTTTCATGAAGTCATTCACAAATCTGTAGAGGTAAAGTCTAAGGGACAGAAATTGTAATGTTATTACTGTTACTGGAACAAATCAATCTGTAGGTTTTTTTTCCCCTTTTTATAAAAAGTAAATTAATGTAATTAAATTTTTTTTTCTATTATATTTTCTTTTTTGTACTGAAATATTTTATTGGCATTATTACATATAAAAGTTCAATTATAGAATATTTCACCCATCTGCATTTCTATCATTTTTCATTTAACTTTATGATGATTATCAAATATAATCTGTATATATAGGAGATGGGATGTTAAAAAGCGATCCATGTCCTAGCATCAAATGCACTAGATACACCAAAGTTCATGGTGCAGTGATAGAGAAACAATGGAAATTCTGACTGGGTAGTCACATACTCCTAGTGATGACAAATAAGTCAGGAAATTACTTTCAGAGCAAAAATACAACAAAAAAAGTAGACCCAAGTCTGAATATAATGCACAGTAATAATACTTCCAGCTTTTCACGGAAATTGTAATGAACAATTCAATAATATAGAAACTTAAAGTCACAGGTAAGAAACACCCTTGGGTCAGATAAAGGAGACAGCCACAGGTATCCATGAACATTTCTGGGATGCACTATTTTGAAGAGAGAATGTTGGTGGCAAAGATAAGGCTAAAGTTTCTTCTGTTGACCAATTATGTTAAATTCATAAATGAGGGAACTTACAGCTTATTTCAAGTCGGATGAAGTCTGTAATGCCAAGGTTTTCTAGAAAAACTCCAGATAAAGCCATGGTTTTAAAAAAAAAGGAAATATCGGCACTGAATTCCGCATGGAAGGTGGGAAAGTGGAGGTAAGAGGCTTCTGTATAAAATGAGACTGCGTTCCAGAGGTGTCCTGCAAATGAGAAAATTCTTAAGCATGCTTCATTGTTTTCAAATGCGGTAAAAGAAAGCTGGGCATGTGGATAATTTTTCAAGACTGGGGAAAATGGCATGGAAAAGGGATAAAGGAATAAAAACATCTTGTGCTTATGTAATACAGAGAGAAATTTTATTTCCATTAGTACTCACGGTCACCATAGCAACGCAATGGACCAATTCTCCAAGCAGCTTCTGAGTTTGATCTGTTGGTATCAGTAATAACTATCTGAGTGACAGGCAAGTGGTCTTTGAAGGAGAGAAAGCCAGAATCATTTGTCCTGCAAAACATAAATTACAGAAAAAAGAGGAGAAAATGTGGATAAACTAGGGACTGTTTACCAAGACTAGTCTTTTCAAAAGTGATTTGGATGGTTGCAGCAGGGTGGGGGCAGAGAGGGGGATAACAGAGGGCCTTTCATCTCTTAAGTGTGTGTGAAAGGCTGGAATGGCAATTACAAAACCCATGGCCGGCTTCCAAAAACAAGCGGATTTTACATCTTCCGTAAGTCCTTCCAGAAACAGTTTGCAGAGCTTGCACTTGCTTGTAGCTAAGAGCACACACCTGCCCAGTGCAGTGTGATGTAACATTAAACAATGCCTCTCTTGCTATAAAGAGATCGGCTATCTCAGAAACTAACCTGAAATAGGCATCATAAATCCCACATGAAATCACTCCAAGGACTTGTTTCAGCCACCTGCCGAAGTATTTAATCAGCTTGGGGTGATTCTTATCACCTTTTAACTCTAGGTAAAAACACACCTTTGCAGTTACTGGTTTGTTGCTTTTCATTTTGGGCTATGTTTTAAAGATCCTGGTAGTTAAGGATTCTAGCTTTGTCTTTGTTAATTATGCAAATAGGAAATGGACTGGTTACTCTTTCTCAAAAAATTTTAAAATGAATAGGTTAAGTTGTTGATTTTTCTCTCTTTTTTAAGTTATGATTTTGGACTCATGGTAAGAATACACCATTAAACTGAGAGTAAAAAAATATTGTAGTTAAGAAACTGGCATTAAATTAATAAACATTTTGAGGCAGCAACATATTAAATGATAAGTATATTTTTCCCATGCAGCACCCCTATGCAGTGGGTACCAGTATTCTCATTTACAAATGAGGGAACTGAGGCTCAGAGATATTAGGTAACTTGTCTAAGGTCACAAAGCAGAAAAGGCAGGGGCCTAGTCACATACTTGGCACACAGCCCATGTGTAAAGTTAACTAATATGTCATAAATATATGTCAATCTGAGCTGAACTGAATCAGATGAGGGACACACAAGAGTGGGCTGGACTCCCTCTGCCCCGTCCTCTCCTCTCCTCCCCCATCAGCCTCAGCTAAACACAGGATGGGTCATCTTGCTGGTACTTGGGAATTGGGAGACAGAGCACCATGCTCCCATATGCAGGACAAAGTATATGATGCAGCAATTTGATAACAATAACACAAAGTAGCCAAGTAATATTTCTTCTCTCTCTGTATTCACAAAGAAGTCAACAAAATACTCAAAAACACTCAGAATCAACATTATATTTCATTATTATTTACAACTCTGAGTTTAGAGACAAGAAAAATAATATTCCAAACTATTAATTGGGGAAGCTTAGCAAGGACCAAGTAGTGTAATAAAGTACTTTTGAAGCAAATTTCTTCTGGAATCTCAGGTGCCCAGCTATTGGCTATGTTAGCTTGGGCAAATCACTTTACTTCTGAGACTGCCCAGTGACCTCAGTTTTAAAATGAAGATAATTTCTATATCACAGAGTTGTAGAGAGGATTACACGAGATTACATAGTCACTTATCATGGTGCCTGATCTATAGTAAATGCTAAAAACTGGTAGTAGTAACACTCATTTTAATTCTCATTTGGACTAAGGCTTTTGTTTGTATTTGAAAGCACATCTCTGAATGTTAACAGACACAATCAATATTGAGTCTTCACATTCCAATATCTTTTCACAAAAAGGTTTCAAACCAAATTCCAAGTAGTAAAAGGAATAGACAACTCACATCTGCTCCCGAAGTAATTCTGTATTTCTATAGGATTCATTTCTCTCTATTTTCATTTTCAAGGTGAAATGCTAAATTCTGAAGTCTGCCCATCAATGCTAACTACTGCCTCCCTTACACACTATGTCATCTTGTCTACAACAATTTTCTGTCCTTGTGTCAAAGTGTTGGAATATTTAAATAGCACTCCAACAATAAATATCTTTTCCAAGGAAAGGAAAAAAACAACTTTATATTAAGTTTGATGTTATAATTCATATTACTGAAAATACTTTTTATCTGAAAACTAAAAAAGTAAATTAATGAAGGAAACTGCTCTCCAAAGTTGTTTAATGGGATAAACAGACATAAAACTCAAAGTGCCTACAGGGACCAGGAAAGGAATAAAAATAAGTGAAGCCAGCTTTGCGTTAGATGATAAATGGAACCTGACACACAGTTTCACTGTCAGGGGGAGAAAGAGAGAGAGAGAGGGAAAGACAGAGAGTGAGAGAAGGGGGCTGGGGGTAGAGAGTGGTAGAAAGTAGGTGTTCTATTGGGTTGTCGGAAAAGTCATGATGTACTTTTTTTTGTCTTTTTCATTGCAAAAATGTGTCATGACTTTTCCGCCAACCCAATATTTAAAGGACAGTCATATGCGTTAATAACAGGTAATTAAGCTACTCATGAATATAAGAGCAGTGGGCTAGCCTAGCCCTCAATATTAATGTAAAACATTTTCATTTTTAAACCTTGGCAATGGATTTAATTTTTTTTTAATGTATGGTGGGAACCGACACTGTACTGAACAATAAAATGCAGGTGAGAAATGTTTTTAGCTTACAGGCAACCTGAGCGTCAAGGAGACCTTGCCTATGTATTCATGCTCTTAGAGTCACATTGAGGATAAGATTGGATTTAATTCAATTTGTGAGTGACAGGTATGATTGAAACTTTTCAAAGCATTAATGGGTAGAATATTTAGGGGGTGGGTGGTGGTGGTAGATTTTGGCCATAAGAAAATGATACAAATTATAGTGGTTCCTATTGATAGGCTGGGAGTCCACAGCCGTAGATTTGACTTTCTTCACTGTACTTGGTTTTCTTTTTGTTTGAACTTGTTTTCGCAAGGGCAACGGCTTTGCAGGCTTTGTCTTCCTTTGGAATATATGTGACTCTACTTAAGGGTACAGTACTTGTGTACTTTTTAAGTACAGAAGTTATTGTGTTGTCATTTGAATCAGACTGACATGGGCTGAACCAATGTGCCTCAACAGACTCATCATATGATGTCAGTGAGGTCACTTTGGGCCTCAGTTTCCTTATCTCTTGTTATACTCATTTGATATTGTTGTACCAATCAAAAGCCAATGTATATAAAAACAGTTAACACACTGACTATTACATATTAGGGACTCAATAAATAGTTGTTGAAATTCCCAGAGAAGTTTGAAATTAAAATGTAAAATACAAAGAATATTTTCAAAGGGAAATAAGAAAGGGAGCCCCCTGTTGATGAATGATGAATGGCAGGCCAGCCAGAGATTCCAGCTTATGGAGCTTCCAAAGGTACAAGGAATGGACATGTGGTTTTCCAGAAACACACTCGACTTACCTAAACGTGCATTAGGAAAAAGAGTTGAGAAAAGTATTCTTAAGAGCAAAAGGATGGCACAGAATTTCTCAATGTGGCCTCCTCTCGGTTTACTATATGAATCTTGGGATTTTCCCAAATTCAAACTTACAGAACACAACAGCAGTCTCTGACTTCTTTTGTGTATCATTAAGGTATAGTAGAGAGTCACATACTCCCAAGTGCTTTCACCAACCAATTTTAGTTAACTGAGGCTCTTAAGCTTCTTTTAGTAGAATCATTTGGGTGACCAAGCCTATAAAGAGGATTTTGTTTTTTTCTCTTTATATCCTTTTTTTTTTCAGTTACTCAAAAGTAACAAATTAAACATTATGCATAAGGTAGAAAAACCTAGAAAATTATGCAAAAAGCCCCAGAACTTCAGCTTCCTTTATAGCCCTTGTGGGAATCTCGGTTGATTAGCTTCAAGATACTCTGACTACCCTTCCTTGGGTGGGTGACAGGATGCGCTCCATTTTCCGTGGCTGCAAAGGGAGAATGGCCAGTCAGATGCCTATAAGCCGCTCTGCAAGTCTAAAGGACAGTGTTGATGCTTGCCAATAATTTGATCCTTACTTTGGTTAAGGCAATTATTTCCCTTTTGTCTTCCTTCTGAGGCTATCCAGAGAAAACAGACTTGGGGATTAGATGACAAGAAGCTCAAAATGAGATAAAGGGTCACTTGTTTGCCCAAAGAAGCAAATGCAAGCATTGACTGTAGTCACATATACAAATCCACACCTGGAGATAGTATCTATTCAGCCCTGCCCCATACTGGCCAGATCATAGCTGGAGCCTTATTTTCAGGGCCTAGCAAAACAAGACAATTCTGGCATGAATGTAAAAATTTCAGAAACTGTATTTCCTCTATTAGTATTCTAGAAACTTGAAACCATAGAGCTCATCTCATGTAAATGATAGAATAAAAAACTAGATCTTATATGAATACAGCCAAAGTTTACCCAATTTTACTTTATTGTTAAGAAATTAAAATGGCCCTCAAGATTTTATGGGTATACAATTGATTTTAAAAAGCACTACCACTGAGGAAGGTTTTGGAGGTAGCATTTGATTAATATGTTCTGGAGGTGAACAAAAGAAGCATCCTGCAGTGCCATGAAAGCTCTTCACAGAACTCTCTGCATCTTTCCTTCTATCTCATCTTGCTCCTCTGCCTTTTCCTCCTCAAAGTACCACGATCAGCCTTTTTTCCTTCACTCCATGGAAATGTCTCTCACTGACCTCCTAATTTCCATGGAATATGTCAGACCCTAACTTACCTTCTTTCCTGTTACATACACACACACACACACACACACACACACACACACACACACCCTCTCCTTTGTATATTAACAGTAGTTACCACTAACTAATAGCCCTAACTGCCTCCACTTGTCACTTTCCCCAGGAATTGGCGATCCTACTTGTCTGTGTTACTCAATTCTGTGAATGACCTGGCCCCTTACCCCCAGTTGCTCAGTCTGGACCCAAACAGAATGTTATCTCTCATTTTTCCTCACTTCCTCCCTCATTCTTGATCAACAACTTCCACGCATCTCACCTTCTTTTTGTCTCTCAGTTCAGCTGCCCTATCTTCATCCTCCTGGCCTTGGTTTTATTTGGGACCCTCAGAGTCTCTGCCTGGGGCTTTAC